CCCCCCCCCGCTTTCACACAGATGGTTATTTTCCAGGCTGCGGAGCAGCCGCCGCGGAGAGCTTTAATTGGCAGCGACGGCGGCGGCACCAGCATTCCGCATGAGGCGCAAGTATCAGGAGGACAAGCGCCTGGGCGAGAGGGCGGGAAGGGCGAAGAGCACCGGGGGCAGGGCCGCTGGAGGTTTCTTAGCAGTGACGGCGGAGGCGGTGGGGAACAAGGGGGCTCCGAGTCGGCCACGGCGGATAAGCTGCCGCCGTTGTTGCCGGAGGGAGACGGCTGGACGATTGGATTTGCGGCGGGGGACAAGTCGGCTTTCGCATCGGGGGTGAGTGCTTTCTTGCCGCTGGGACGCGGCGGGGATGTGTGTGTTGCTGTGGGACTTTCCCCTCAATTGTGGTCGCTTCATGGGGGTTTTGCTGCGTCAAGCAGCTCGTACACAACACACGCACCTAGCTGGAAGTTGGGGCGGCGTTGGAAAGAGCGTTGGTGTCGCCATAAGAAACTCGCCTATCCCCGTCGGCGGAGTTCCCATGGGGTTTGCGTGTGGGGTCCATCGATGAGTTGTGGACCTCCTCATCCGGGTGCGTTCAGACGTTTATGCCGGACGGCCAACCGTCAGGCCGTTTTTCTCTCGTGTCGCACGTCACACACCCGCCGTCGCGTCCAAGCGTCCGTCCGGCATGATATGGCGGGTGTTTCATGTTTTGTTTTGTATTTTCGAATGTTTCCTCTCTGGAAAACGAGTAGGCGTTTACCGTGCCTGTGCGCTCATCCCAGCTGTAGAAATATTTTTCAGCCTTCGTTTCAATATGCAGCCCTCCGCAGCCCCAGGCAGAGGGTAGTGCCGCGTGTTGCGCATGTTTATTCTCTCTCAACACGTGCTACGCTGCACTCTTATCATCCCCATCCGCATCTTTGTTGTTTACGCCCGCGACGCTATTTTTTCTCTCTTCTCAGCCAGGAGTGAACAGCTTGTCACAGGCCCATCGCGACCTCTTTTTCGGGCAGCACGCGGCCCTCATGACCGTGCGCCCGAACGCCGAGCTCTACGACGAGATTTCGCACCTCCTCTGCAAGGTGTGCGCATGGCGACCGCGTTGATCTGCGGTCCGACTGGGTGACGGTCCGACTTGTTGGCGTGTGCGGGACAGCTGCCGGTTGTTCTTTTTGAGGGGGGGGAGGGGGGGTAGCAACGTCAGCGGCGCGGTTCGCGTGTGAAATGGGATATCTTTGCTAGCGGCTGGTAATTGCATTGCCGGTAGAAGGAATCTGCGTAACCCCGTTTTCTCTGCCGGGGACAGCGCGGCACCAGCATTGCCTATAAAGATTGTTGTCCTTGCAAGGCGTACAGTGCTCACTGTTTCTCTCGCAAGGTGCGTGAACTTAGACAAGACTTGGAAGAGAAAGGAGGTAGCGAAGCAATGAAATACAAAATATTTGTTCTGTGACCGGTCGGGCTTTACACGAATCTGGTACGAGAATGGTGAGAGGCTACAAAAGGTGAGATCCTCCACTAGAGGGAAAACGGCAGTTATCTCCTAGGCAGTTGACACCCCTCCGTCGTCGTAGGTAAGGGAGGCGTTTTGTGTCCCGTGTGGTGCGCCTCTTCGCATGGGATGCCGGGCGTACAAAATTCGGGGAACTCGCTTAGACGAGACTTGGAAGAGAAAGGAGGTAGCGTAGCGGTGAAGTAAAATGTACTTGTTCGTGGCCGGTTGGACTTGACACAAATCTGGCAAGAGATGGTGAGAGGCTACAATAGGTGGAGTCCTCCACTAGAGGGAAAACGGCATTTATCTCCTAGGCAGTTGACACCCCGTCGTAGGTAAGGGAGGCGTTTTGTGTCCCGTGTGGTGCGCCTCTTCGCATGGGATGCCGGGCGTACAAAATTCGGGGAACTCGCTTAGACGAGACTTGGAAGAGAAAGGAGGTAGCGTAGCGGTGAAGTAAAATGTACTTGTTCGTGGCCGGTTGGACTTGACACAAATCTGGCAAGAGATGGTGAGAGGCTACAATAGGTGGAGTCCTCCACTAGAGGGAAAACGGCATTTATCTCCTAGGCAGTTGACACCCCGTCGTAGGTAAGGGAGGCGTTTTGTGTCCCGTGTGGTGCGCCTCTTCGCATGGGATGCCGGGCGTACAAAATTCGGGGAACTCGCTTAGACGAGACTTGGAAGAGAAAGGAGGTAGCGTAGCGGTGAAGTAAAATGTACTTGTTCGTGGCCGGTTGGACTTGACACAAATCTGGCAAGAGATGGTGAGAGGCTACAATGGGTGGAGTCCTCCAGTAGAGGGGAAACGGCAGTTATCTCCTAGGCAGTTGACACCCCGCCATCGTCGTAGGTAAGAGAGGCGTTTTGTGTCCCGTCTGGTGTGCCTCTTCGCACGGTGGCAGTCTTAAAATAGGCATATGCGGCGCTCGTGACAGTGGTCTCGTCCAAGTCACTTATAGCCTCTACTCCATTTCGACCCGTGACCCCGCTGCCGCCGCTGTGCCAATTCAACCGAACAGGGAGACGGTCTTTTCGACGAGGCGTTCCCAGGGCGATCGGGCGAGAGGTACGGCGATCGTCTGAAGCGGGACAACGCGTTGTCGGTTAAAGCACCGACCACGCCGCTGCTGCACCTTGCGGTCGCCATGGCCTCGCCGAGGTAAGAGAGAGACAAGCACACGCACACACACACATAGAGAGAGAGAGAGAGAGAGAGAGAGAGCAAGAGACTAGTACTCCCAGCGCAACAATGGACCAGTTTCACAGATGGATGCCTCCGGCTGCTGGTGGTGGGTAGGAACGCGGTAGCCTGGTGGCCGTCTCGCGGTATATTGGGGGGGTGTATCCGTCACGGGACCTGCGGGGCGAAGACGCGCCAGCGGGCGGGTTGGGTTCCAACAAAGGTAACGCGATTGTATTAGGTATGTGCCAGCGGTATATGCGGTTTTCGGCAAAGCCGACGTTGCTCTCTTCCGGCCTCCCTACTGCTCCTTCGGCCCTTCTCCCGTCACCCCCCCTCCCCGCCTCTCTTCTTCCCGGGACCGACACGACGCCTACAGAGAAACCACCGCGCAGGTACCGCTTGTGATTTGCGGTGGCGGCATCGAAGCTGCTGCTGGTGAGATGGAATGGAAGTGGACTGGGGCTGCGTTGCCAGTTGTGTGGTGTCCCTCTTCTGCACCCTTCCGGCAACGCCGGCGCCGTCGGCTCGGCCAACAAGACGCCGAGCCAGCCGGAGACCGCGGCGCAATGTCCGTCTCGGGGGCGGCAGCGAGGAGCTTCGCCACGGCCTCCCTCGAGAGGAATACGTTGGGTAGAAGCGGTAGCCGCTCCGATGATGCGGGAAGGGTGACCGATTTCGATGTTCGGGGGGACGGGGGGCGCCGAGGTCGCTGGGATAAGACCGAGGAGGGCAGCTTTGCCCCTGCCATTGCTGACGCAACTGCTGCTGTCGAGGTGCCCGATGACCGGGGCAGGGAGGAGCGCTCTCTAGCTGGCACCGGGAGGTTGCGCAGTGCGCCCAAGAGCGGGGGGTTGTTGAGAGAACGGGGAGGGGCACGCGGCATCGGCAGGAGAAGACTGGACGGGAGTGACGGCGGCAATAGCGGCGATGGCGGAGAGGACGGAGATTCAGCACAAAGGCGAGGAGGGGAGGAAGGGGCAGGGGAGGAGGTTAAGGAAGACGGGGGCGAGGAGGGGGAGACGAAGGAGGAACGTCAGAAGCAAGAGGGAGAGGGAGAGGTTAAAATTGGCGATAGTAATAGGGTAGGTAACGCAGTCAGGCTGGCGTGGATCCCGGCGGACCCCTGTTCGTGCACGGATGCCCCCGGCGCGGTCGGGGAGGCCTGCCGCGGCTGGCTGATGGCGCGGGCTGCTGGTCCTCCTTCTCGGCATTCTCGAGGCGACGGTGAAGCGCAAGCACCATCGGAGGTGTGTAAAAGTACTGACGAATGTGTAAGAGTTATGGCTGAATGTATTCGAGAGTGAAATCGGAAAAAAAGTCTTGTTGACCTGGATCCAGCTAAAGAATTTTGTTTTTTCAGTTACGTACCGGTTTCGGGGCTTGTCCTGTGGTTAAACACCTCCTTTTGGCATGCTTATCGAGCAAACGCGTGGCTGGATGTGGGAGGTATTTATGTTCACGCCATAGCCCCCCCCGCCCTCCTAGGTTTATCTTTGAATTGTAGCGGTGCACGTCGACGCGGCAATCCACCAGCCTGTTCCTTAGGATGTACCATCTACTATCTCTCTAAAATGCCTCTGATTGCTGGAGTGTCGACCTCGTTGGCCTAGCGGCGTTCCATTTTTCCAAACTCCCCGGAAGCCTCGGGGAGTAAACAATGACGCGAACTAGGACGTGGAAGATGACGCATGCTCTTAAACTCTTGGACTACTGTGGTTTTATCTCGAACGGGTGTATCTCTCTTGATTTTACGTACATTCAAACCCAAAAGCGCATCGTCTTGACCGAATCTGTCACTGGCTCACGATGGAAGTGGGATCTTGAAGCGTGCCGGAACCGCCAACTGGAAACCCGTACCACGAGGTTGCACACATTCCATATTTTCACCTCTCGCTTCCTCCTCCGCCTCGTCCACCGCGCCAACTCAGTCCGCGCCCCCCCTCCCCGGGCAGGATGGCCTACCCGTAGCGTTGTCCGTCTGCAAGGACGGAGCATTTGAGTCTCCGTTGCCGCTTCCTGCGGTACGGGAGGAGGAAGCTGCTCGTGCCGCGCAGGGCGCGGGTGCTTCCTACTCCGCACGGCGTTCGCCCGACGGAGGGGGGGGCGCGGATGAGAGCCTGCTATCTGCGTTGCCCCCCCCGCCGCCGTTGTGGCAGGAGGTGAAGCCCGAGCAAAAGGCGGTGGTCACACAGAATGACCTGGACAGCTTCCAGCACTTTTGGCTCGCGAACGTGGAGCATAAGGTGCTCATGGTGGCCATCCCGAAGGTGTGACGATTGGTGGGGGCCGTTTTGTTGTTTGTTCGATGGATGAGCTATTCTGTTGCAGGGTGTTAGGTGTTCGTACTTCCGTTCTTGTGTTTCTACCGTCTGCCTGTTGCATACACGAACAACGCGTCGTTTCCGACGGGCACTCGTACGTTTGTGAACCCATGCGTGCACGCGTGTATTTGTTACGGGGCTGCTCGTGTTGGCCAGCCTGTCTAGGTTGTTGTCCTCGTTGTCTGGCCGCTTTGGTAGGACTGTCTTACTGTCTGCGTGTTGGATGCTAGGTAAGCGTTTGCGCCGTGCGGCGTAACGTCTGTCCTTTCGGTGGACGCTGACACCACGTGGAACCCTGCTGACTGGCGTCATGTCCTTCTGGTCTGCCGTGCCTAGCCCCCCTCCAGCCTGCGCTCACGTGGCGGCACCCCCTCTCCGAAGTGTGTCGTCACGTTATCACCGCCCACCTACCCTCGCTCAACCCCCCCCCCCCCCCCCCCCCCCCCCCCCCCCCCCCCCCCCCCCCCCCCCCCCCCCCCCCCCCCCCCCCCCCCCCCCCCCCCCCCCCCCCCCCCCCCCCCCCCCCCCCCCCCCCCCCCCCCCCCCCCCCCCCCCCCCCCCCCCCCCCCCCCCCCCCCCCCCCCCCCCCCCCCCCCCCCCCCCCCCCCCCCCCCCCCCCCCCCCCCCCCCCCCCCCCCCCCCCCCCCCCCCCCCCCCCCCCCCCCCCCCCCCCCCCCCCCCCCCCCCCCCCCCCCCCCCCCCCCCCCCCCCCCCCCCCCCCCCCCCCCCCCCCCCCCCCCCCCCCCCCCCCCCCCCCCCCCCCCCCCCCCCCCCCCCCCCCCCCCCCCCCCCCCCCCCCCCCCCCCCCCCCCCCCCCCCCCCCCCCCCCCCCCCCCCCCCCCCCCCCCCCCCCCCCCCCCCCCCCCCCCCCCCCCCCCCCCCCCCCCCCCCCCCCCCCCCCCCCCCCCCCCCCCCCCCCCCCCCCCCCCCCCCCCCCCCCCCCCCCCCCCCCCCCCCCCCCCCCCCCCCCCCCCCCCCCCCCCCCCCCCCCCCCCCCCCCCCCCCCCCCCCCACCCTGTTCATTTGCTCGTGTCTCAGGTGGCGTGCACCCAGGTCCATGCTTTGTTCCTCCGCCTGCAGGGATCCGAGAACTGGGACACTCAGCGCATGGAAGAAGTGCGTGCATGCGGATTTCTTTTTTGATCATGTCGATGTGTGTGTGTTTTTTTGTTGTGTGTGTCGTTCGTCCGATCTAGTCCGGGCCCGAGTCTTTACGCCTTGCGGTGTTATGTGTAACGCTTGCGGTGTACTCCGAGTATGTTAAACGCACCAGCCGGCGTCCAAACAGGATGAAAGTGAACACTGAAGTTCTTGTTTGTGGTTTCTTCACCATCGCCCCTGCAATGCCGGGCTTCGATTTTGAATGCGGTGAAGATGAGGTGCGTCGAACAAAGTGACTAACCGTTCACCTAGTCGGCGGACAGTGTGGGGCCAAATTTGGGCGCGATGGTGTGTTCCGTGGTCGTGTATGGATCGTGCATGCCGTTGTGTGTTTCTTTGGTTTCATTCCCTCCCCCCCCCCCCCCCCCCCCCCCCCCCCCCCCCCCCCC